TGAGAAATTTATTTCGACTATAGAGATAAACAGTTTGGGCATGAGTAATTTATTTCCTTCAACTATCTTCCTTTCCTTAGCACAAGTGTCAGACATTACTTCCATGCAATGCAATCTAATAAAAAGGTGCATTTTGCTATTATGAAAAAATTACAAAAGCAAAGTCCTTAATGCTTGCTATGCCACTCATAGAGAATACAATGATTATTGCGAGTGTATTAAGCTGTTAGAAAGTGAAGAAACCTTGACGAGTTTGAGGATTTTTGTGGGCTTCAACAAAGCTTTTTTCTTAATTTATGGGCAACAAAAATTGGGGAAACTTTAGAGTGATGAGTGTTTTCAAGGAGAAGTTAGAGAGAGAGAGAGATAGAGATTTGTGGGTGGTTTGCAAGATAAATAGGGTAAGGTGAAGTCTTAGTCCAAGTGGCACTCGTTGAGGACTTCATCCCCTCTTATTAGAGTGTTTGGCTAATAAGCTTATATTGGATGTGTGACCAATTATTTATTTAAGAAGTCCCAAACAAACAAACGTGCACTAAATAATAAGTTAAATATAATTAATTTTCTTATTTGGAAAATTATCTTTTAACTTTGTTGTCCAAATAAATAACTTTCTACATGATTGATGTACGTATATCATCTCTAAAAACATCCCATATCCCATTAAGTTTGACAGCGTGACTCAAAAGTGTTGCTTGAATAAATATTAACTATGTTTTGGACAAGATTTCCAAAATGACCCTCATATAATGGAGAAAACTGGTTGAATGATGATTTGGTGGTGTATATGAAGCGAGAGATTTTTAAAAAATTTGAGGAGGAGGCAATATTGCAATGCTTTCACATTATGAAACTACAACGATGGTGTTGTTTGAACTTACATTTACGAAGTGAGGTTGTATCGTGCACTTTTCTTATTATTTTATTTAATGATTTCTAACTCTTGATGCTCATCAAACCTATAATTCTCCATAAAATTGGGTTGAAACTCAAAGTAGGGACATAAAATATTAATTAACAGTGATACTAGATTTAATAGGAAAAACTTGTTCAATCATCAATAACCAAAAAGCGATATAATATCAACAGACTCAAAATAATATTGAAATTATTCAATTAAATAAATATGCATAGAGTTGAGATCTAAACACTTCACATTAGTAAGGATAAGTCTCCACTGCAAACTGTCTAAATTAGTATGCAATAGGAAAGATCTGATGTATCATTAATCGAAGGCCTCGGTTAAGCAGCAGGTCTCAAATTGGGTAGTCACTAGTCCAAACAAGATATCGGAGTACTTCATCTGATGACTTTATAAGAGTTCAAGTTTAGCCAATTTCATTGAGGAATCTTCTTACATTTTCAATGTGGATATATATTGTTTGATTCTAGAAATAAATAGTGCTTAACTAAGGCTCAATGAAGAATCCATCCTCTATTAATTAGTCAGTTTGCAAAAATGTTCAAGGAATATTAATACTAGCAATTGCAAAAATGACATCAGTATATTTTAACAAATGTTCCTTTCATTTTCACATAAAAATAAAGAGTAAAATAATTTTGTTAAACTTTTGTAAATGAACAAGTGTGAGGACAAAAAACTAAGGGTCCGTTTGATTGTAAAGATGGAATTGAATTGGGTGGAAAACAAATTTCAGAAAATTGAATTGCCTAAAATTGTTTTCCTAGGAATTGTAAATTATTGCGTTTAATTGGTATAATTTTTCACGTGAAAAATGTTGAAATAAAAGTATTTTTTTATATTCGTTTGACTTTGTTTTACATGAAAATTGTCAATTAAAATGATAGAATTTACTGGTATTAAGGATAACATTGGTTTCCATTGCCAAAAAGCAATAATAATAATAATAATGATAATAAATAAATAAAAAATTCAAGAAAATCATCTATTTTTTAATGTTCGTTTGACTTTGTTTTACATGAAAATTATCAATGAAAAAGAAATATTTTTTTACAATAATTCTTAGAATTGATTTCCATTTCCTAAAAAAAAAATGTGAAAAAAAAATCGCTACAGTAACCGAGAATTCCACTTCTCACCATATATGGTGAGAATTGAAATTCCACCAAATTAAGGAATAACACAACTTCCAATAAAAGTTAGAAACCAATTGCATGAAAAATTTTGTGAATCAAACACTACATTTTGCCACCCATTTCCATGGAATTTGGTGAATCAAACACTACCTAAGTGATTGAAGAGTTTATTTTAATTCTAGCACTATATTTCAATAATTGTTTCTTTCATTTCTCCAATAAACTACCTTTGTTATATAAATTTCATAAAGTTAATTAGCACAAAACGTCCATATATTTCAATGTTATTGTGCAAAACGTTCATACATTTCATTTTTGACACTTTTACCCTTACTTTCACCTTTTATTACATCATTTTCATCAAATTTCTCATATAAAATGACAAATATACCTCCTGTTTAAATAAAATAATAAAAAAGAAAAGAAAATTTAAAAAATAAATTGCAATCATACTCCCAAACTTTTTTAAAAAGTGCAAATGAGTTCAAATAAATTATTAAAAGAGTAATTAGCACAAGATGTCCTCACCTTTCATTATTATTGTGCAAACGTCCATACCTTTTATGTTTTGACATTTTCACCCTTATTTCATATTTCATTACAAAAATCAAAAATCGTGATTTTAATCCATTTTCTCAATTAAAAGTTGTGAAATGATAAATATACATTCCTCTTTAAATAAACAAAAAGAAAAATAAAGACCGAATTGAAACTATGCTCCCAAATTTTTTTATTTTATTTTATTTTTGTTTATTCAGAGAGGGGGAATATTTGTCTTTTTACAGCTTTTAATTAAGGAAGTGTATGAAAATAATTATTTTTACAATGACATATAAAAGTAAGGGTGAAAATGTCAAAAAATGAAAGATGAGGATATTTTGTATAATAATGATGAAATGTAAGAACGTTTTGTGCTAATTATCTTTTTAGTAATTTTTTTTTTGACTCATTTCTACTTTTAAAAAAAATTGTAAATATGATTGCAATTTATTCTTTTATTTTATTGTTTTATTTAAATAGAGGTATATTTGTCATTTTACACGAGAAATTTCATAAAAATAATGATTTTCACAATAAAAAGGTGACGGTAAGGGTAAAAGTGCCAAAAAATGAAATGTATGAACGTTTTACACTACAACATTGAATGATAAGGACGTTTTGTGCTAATTATCTAATTTCAAAACTCCACACAAATGGTATAAAAGGGATGCTTTAAGTACTTTAACTCCAATTGTTGATTCACCTTTGGTACACCATCTGTAATTATTAAGTGTTGTTTTTATTTTGCTTTACTTGTATATTAAGTCTGTTAAATTGTATGTATAAAACATTTGTTAAATTGTATGTATAAAGCATCTTCATAAATATTTTGATACGGTTATGCCTTACGTGACATATTATATAAATTCATTGGTAGATTACTAGATTTTATGACAAGTTATCGGTGCTTAATATAACATGAACACTAATGGATCTCAATATTTGAATTAAGTTTAAAATCCATCTTATAAATTTATATGAAATGTCATTCATGTTTAACATAAGATAAGTATCGATACTCATTCTATCATTCATGTATATCTATATTGGTTTTGGTTAATTTTTAAACCACTCAAAACCAATGTCCCAATAAACTCACCAACAATCATTTTTTTAGCCTCACAAAATTGTCATCCCAAAATACTCCAAATCAATTTGGGGTGTTGACTCGAACTACCAAATTGAAAGAAATATACAGCCTCTATGTGCGTGTGTGTTGTTTTGAGGGTAAATTTCAAGATTGTTAAAAATGCGCTTGTTTTGCCATTTAATTTTCTACTATAAAACACTTTTTGTTCAAGATTTTGAAAAATTGTTTTATTATATTTTATTCCATGAATTTTATTATTCGGTAAAAATAGAATAATTTTATGCTAATATATTATCAAGTAATATATTCATTTTAAAATTGGTGAATCTTACAATATTTTTTCTCATTACAAAATTAAAATAAAAGCAAACAATTAATTGAGTTCAAATACAAGAAATAAAAGCAAAAATTGATTACCTGGACTGAGAATATTTTTATTTGTGTTTATTTAAATATATTTATTTTTTAATTTTTATGTAAATAATCATTAAAAGTTTGAATTATTTTTATTTTTTATATTTACTAGAATTTTTATATATTTTTTAGAATTTTTATTTTTAATTTTTAGATTTTATTGTTTAAATTTTTTTTAATTTTGAGAAATTTTATACCAAATATGCTTTTAGTATTTTGCAAAATTGAAAACGAAAAAAGTAAACCAATCGCACTCTAATTTTTTTTGGAAAATATAGTTAAAAAATAAGAAATTTTTTTAGATTATTGTGTAATATTATTCTATTAAGAAATGAATAATTAAACAGTTGAGAGAGAAACATGCAATTTTATAGAATGTAGCCCAAACAAGGACACAATTTTAATAAAATAATATTATATGTAAATTCAATTTTTAATATTTAAAATTTCATTTTAGCCACTATTTGTCCCCAATTAATTTTCATTCCATTATATTTTATTTTTTTCTATCCTATTTTCAACCACACAATCTTGCCTAAAATAATATTACGCATAAATCGAAAATTTTTCATTCTTTTTCAACCACTCATTTTTCAAAAAATTACTATTCTACCCATTTTTATTTCCCGAAAGTGGGAGCCAAACGAGTGCTTAATTTTAATACATTTTTTATTTTTTCTTTTCAGTTATATATTTTTTAATAAAATAATATTACATATAAATTCCATTATTATTATTATTTCTTATAACAAATATTCTTTAAAAAATTATTAGATATATTTATTCCAAAATTCCCAAAGTCTAAACAAGGGCTTAATAGCTCTAAGGGGGGAAAATATCTGGCAGGGCCTAATGATGTGGGGACGCGTGCTTTCCTCTCACATTCAAGATTTCACTCCCTAAACGGTGTCGTACTAATTGTACCCTCCTCATCTCTCACTTCTTAGACTCGAGACTCTTGACAATTCCACCCCGAGCGCACACTCAGAAAACGAAACTTGACAGCAGAATCCCGTCACAAACCCTAAAAAAATGTCGGGCGGCTTTTTCCGGGTAGGAATCTCCCTTTAATTTGTTTGGCTATCCGCTATTTAAAGTTCTTTGTCCGAATCGAATTGCTTTTCTGTGAATTAAAATTTGTGCGGGTTTCATGAATTTAGATCTTCCTTCTTTTAGAACCTGATTATTATAGTTTTAATTTCAATTAGGGCACGTCGGCTGATCAGGATACAAGGTTCTCGAACAAGCAAGCAAAACTGCTCAAATCTCAGAAATTCGCTCCTGAATTGGAACACCCGGTTCGTCTTTGCAATTTTTCCATTTATGTATGCTTATTATTTATGATTATGACTGTATTATTATTTATTATTTTTTTGTTTATTTTCTGTATGAAAATGTACTTAGGTGGACATGTTGAAAAATTAAGATGGATATCATGAGTTGAAGGGGTTGCCACACTGATTTTTATTTTTACTTTTTAATTTTATATTCGGTTTCTGCTGAATTTTTGAATTTTTTTCCTTTTTTTTGGGGTGGGTGGGGGGGACATATATTGAATAATGTTGAAGTTTTTTATGAAAGTCAAATGTGTTTCTAGGTGGACATGGCTAAAGTGAAGATGGATGTTATGAAACCGTGGATTGCAAAGCGCGTGACTGAGCTTATTGGATTTGAAGATGAAGTTCTTATTAATTTCATTTATGGTCTACTTGAGGGAAAGGTATCTCAAAACACTGACTTGTATTGTTTACTTGTGTGATTGTCAGTTAGCTGATTTTAATTGTTTGATGATTGATTTATTATAAATGTGAGTTATTGAGCTTTGAGTCTCACTGTTTATCAATGCAGAACTATTTTTGACTTCTTAATATTAAAAATTTATATCTACTCTAAACATTTGATGGTGGTTATGTTTTAATAGGCAAGTGAGGCCATTAAACTGTTAAGTTAATTTTAGAGAATGCTTCTGCTTTGGATAACTGTTGGTGTGGATATGATTGGGTGCAGGAAGTTAATGGGAAGGCAGTTCAAATTCAACTTACTGGTTTCATGGAGAGAAACACTGGGAAGTTTATGAAAGAGCTTTGGTCACTACTTCTGAGTGCACAGAAAAATGTGAGTGGTGTTCCACAGCAGTTCCTGGATGCTAAAGAGGAGGAAACTAAGAATAAGAAGGTCTACTCACGCTTCCTTAAGTTTTTGGATCTTCTATATCTGTGGTGTGTCTTTGTTTAATAATATGTCCATGGGGTGTTACAGGCAGAGACTGATCGTATCGCAAATGAAATTCAAAGGAAGAAAGAGAAGGAAAAGCAGGATCTTGAGCAAGAGATAGATAAAAGGGTAATTGAAAACCTTTTTTTATGCAAAAGTTAGATTATATAGATCTCAAATTTTGTTCCTTACTTCCTTTCATGTTTCATTTTGTTCAGCTTGCTTCTGTTTCTGCAATTTTTTTGGTCATGTCCTTTACTTCAAACTGCTGTAGGATGGTGATGGTGACATCTCAAGATACAAGAATGCTGGCTCAGACCTAAATTCAAAGAACGATTCGAGGTCTTCCAGCCCCCGGTCGGCAGATGGGAAAGAGCATCGTGAGAGAAATGGCCTGAGAGGACGAAGCAGGTAGGAAGTAACTGGATTTACTAATTACTCAAAAATTTTAAGGTACTCAATTGGCAGGGGTTTAATTTTATTTTTTGGAATGTCTTAAACTCTAAACGGAACAAAACTTAGACCACATCTTGATTTGCATGTACTCCTAATTTTCTACTGCTTAATTTTTTGCTCTTAGGCTTTGTGTAAATGATAGGAAAATCTTATACAGGATAATATTTCCCAAGATAAATGAGTGGACAGAAATGGATGACTCAAGGATATGGATGGAAGTGAGGTCTTGTAAACTATCTTGGAGCTCATAGCAATTTGAACGAGAATGTTATGAAGTTGGACAGTTTTGGGTTAATTTTTTATGCCAGGAATGGTTTTCTACGTAAATATTCTTAGAACTAGAAAGAAAGAGTAAAACACATGGAGATTACTAGAGGAGGATGAGGGAGTTTTGCTCATTTGAGGGTAGGTCAAAATCATGCATTTAATTTCAAACTCTGTGCATCAAGTCTACTGACATGAAGAAATTTTCCCACTTCAATATGGATTTGGACAAATTGGAGTAATTTAAATGTCTGGAGACTTTGATCGCTTGAAATTATATGGGACTAACCTAGAGTCTTTGATTCTTTATGAATTGTAACTTCTAAATATTATTCTAATTTTCTAGATCAATTAGGACTTATGCAATGTAAAAAGGGATAAATTCCATTCGCTGTAACTATGCTTTCGCTTTATGTCAATTAGGTGACTTTAGGAGTGACGTGTGGTTTGGCTCAGTTCGATCTTGAAGGGAATCGAACCAAACTAATTACCAATGTGAATTTTACAAATGGAATTATTGGTTCCTTATGTATCGAACTGGAAATGGACAAATTGTTTCCTATTTCTTTCGGTACTTTATACTTAAAATAATGAAAATAGATTATGAAATCAATTGTCATTCCTATAATCTAACAAACAAAAAATCAATGAATAGCAAGTCACTAATATATTCCACATGCTTTTTTATTAGAGGTACTAACTAGAATATTTAAATTATACATATTGTCCAATGATTAAAATAACACCAAGTATGTAAGTTTAAAAAATAAAAATTAAAAAAATGCCATTAATCAAGAATTACCACTAAGTTTGCTTTCCAGTTTCAAATTCTCACTAAATTTGCTTTAAAATTGCCCATTCACAAGTGAACAATGTAATATGGAGTCAAATTTGAATAATAAGTTAACTAAATGTCAAATCCCAAATTTTAGTAGAATTAACAATCTACCATAATAAAATTTAACTTAAGAACTCTTCAATGTCTTCAACTTACAAAATTTTAGTAGAATTAACAATCTACTGTAATAAAATTAAACTTAAGAACTCTTCAATGTCTTCAACTTAGCCCTTGTTTGACACCCATTAAAATTCAAATACATTTTTCACTCTTTTTTCAACCATACATTCTTCAATAAAATAATAGGACTATGCTAGAAGTACAAAACTAACTACAAAAAGTTTGACAAACTCGACACTTGGCGGCCGCCTATTGGAGGGGGAGGCTATGGAGCCAACCACCCCTCCAACAGGGGGCCGCCAAGTGTTGAGTTTGTCAAACTTTTAGTAGATTATTTTGTGCACATATATTAATCCAAAATAATATTACAGGTAAATTAAAAAAAAAAATCTTTTTTAATCACACATTCTCCCAAAAATACTATTTTATAATACATTTTACCAAAATGTCTCTTTATAATGTGTCAAACAAGAGCTTATCTGCATCAATCCTTTTAAAGAGTGAGTCCGCCCCTTGCATCGATTTTAAAATATAAAAATTAAATGTTAATAAATGAACGAAAAATTACACATAAGAAATTACAAATAAAATATAATTACGGTCGTACTTTCAACTAGATCATCAATGAATTTTCACAATCATTGAATAATCCTTTGTGTGATTATGTTTCTTAACAAGTTCTACGTGATATTGCAAAAAAAAAAAAAAAAAAATTTGATAAATGTCAATATTAAAAGAAGCATAAATAAAAAGTAAAAACAAGTTTACAATCTAATAAACAAAAATAAAATAAGATATTCTAATTATCGATTTCCAATTTAATAAATTGTTCATTATATTCCATCTCTTCAATGCCCACTCCATATAGTCGGTCTCCCAAGTGTAGAACATAGCCAATTTTGTATATAAATTAAAGCCTCAATTATTTTGGGTGTATTAACTCCTAAATGAATCAAAAACTCGCCCTACGCCACTAAATGTCGACTCCAAAGCAACAAGAGAGAGAGGTTTTGCAAGTAGATCCCTTGCAATCTTAAACAAAATTGCATATCTTGGACAATTTAACTTAAAAGTTGAATTACTAGTTTTCAGTGGGGTCCATTAGTTATCTCTGAATCTCATCTTTTCCTAACAAATTAGCATTGCTACTTCTTCTTCCTTCTTTTTTTTTTTTTTTTAAATACCCAAATCAAAATTGTTGGACTCATCCCATGATCATCTGCATAAGCCTCAACCAAATTGTCATTAAAGTCATGAATACCACCATCTCCATGATTGGATGCACTATGCGATCCTTTATACCTATTTTACAACTCGCAATAAAATCTTGATTTCATTTTTTCGATTCAACCAAGCTATTATCATAAAAGCGACCAATACAATAAACTACTTCCAACTTGTACCGAGGATTCAATCACAATAGCTCTAATATCTGTATTTTGTTCATTTTATCAACAATCCCCCAATACTTGTCGAATTCACTCTTCATGTTTTTTGCCATATCACTTAATAAAAGATCTTGCTATGCCAAATTTCTTCAAAATTTGTTGAATATTACGAACTTCTTAAAAGTACAAATTCGAGGTCACATTCAAAGATTCACTAAAATTTTAAGTGATTTTGTGAAAGGTTTCTAGATACTTAATAATTTCCTCATATTTTTCCCAATTGTCTCTTGTAAGTACCTTCTATTTCCTTCCCATTCTCACGCTCATCAAAATATTTGCAATAAAACCCATATTCCTTTGCCATCCGATCTAATAGTTTCTCAAACTTAAGTGCACCATCCAACATCAAGTATGTTGCATTCCACTGAGTAAGCTAATTTTTGCACTAATTTCTTCGTTTATCACAAATCTTGAGTTTTGCTAATCTTGAAGGGGATGATCCAAAATATTTCACGGCATTCGTATACTTGCTATTGCCACGTTAAACTCTTTCAACTCATCTTTTACTATTACATTCAAAATATGTGCACACCTTACATGCGTAAGGGACCCACATAATGCCATCCTATCAACTTTCCCATTCTTTAATATATTTTTCGTATTCAATAGCCCTATCATTTACACTTGTATTAACAGTAGTAATAATGGATACATGCTCTATTTTCTAGTCAAGCCAACATTTTTCAGCAAGTTTTACTATTGTTTTTCCTTTATGGTTACGAACTACCGAAAAACTCAATATCCTCTTATTTAACACCCAGTTTTTGTCAATAAAATGGGACGTGATAACCATGTAATTAATATTTTTATTTATGTCTTGCAATTTGTGGTAAGACACAACTCTTGCTTATTAGCAATAAGCTTACCTTTCAATAATTCTCTCTTCACTATAAAGTTTTAGCACGTCCCTATTAACTATTGTACGAGATGGAATATCTGACTTAGGGCATTCATAGCCTATATATTTTCTAAACCCAACACCATCAATAAAGCTAACGGCAATTCATCGACAATAATCATCTTCACCATTGCCTTCCTACATGCTTCTTTGTTAAACACCATAGCACCAATATCGGCAATGCCACCGTTACCACCATCATTGTCATTTAATTATCTCGTTAGTACCTTGTCTTTAATCTATTTGGTACTCTTGTATGCTTTGCAAGTGTTTCCACAAGTTAGAAGTTTTAGTTTCATTGGAATCATGAGCATAAGATTCCCACATAGCTACATTCTCCCCTTTTTCCCTTGTATCTTAGTAAAATGTTACCATACTTCCGATCTCACATTCAGGCTTCTTTTATTTTCAACAATCTCTGCATACATCTACAAGACAAATAATAGAAAATACGTAAAACAAAAAACTGATTCTATACTATGAAATCAATGATTTTCATGGCAACAATCTTCAAACTTTTTAAGTTGTTCATCCTAATAGAATTCATTTCTTCCAAAGTATACTTCATTCTTCATTTTGTAATTATAAAGATTCAACTGAAAAAGAATTCTATGTTGGAAATTGGAAAATGGAAATCAACCTCTATTGTAAGTCCTTTGTAAAGAAATAGTTGCAATTTTTTTCCAAATTGTAACGACTCTTTATCCAAATTTTAAAGACTCTTTAGCATGTCATAAATCAAATCAAGCTATATCTTCGTACTCGTAATCTACTCGCTGCAATGGGTTGTGAAAAACATTCAGATTGCTATCTCTTTAGTCTTTAACGCTTAATAATCTAACTTATACTGTATATACTTAAAGTTTACACAATATAAATATTGTCTTCTCAGCATTAATATAGATTTCATTAATTTAAATAGCATAATGTTTCAGCATCAACTGATAATGAATTTTTGCATACAAGATAAAAACAAAGTCATAAATTATCACGTTCAATAAATCCTATAATTGAATTCAGTGAATGAAGACCAAACAAGGCAACAACCAAACAATCCAACTCCAAGGTCAAATTTAGATTGCTCTAGATTTACTAAACATTATATATTTGATATAGGAGCATACAAATTGATAAAGAACAATAAGAAGAAAGGGGATCAAAAGGAAGAAATGAGGGCAAGAGAAATACTTTTATTCATATAATTCTGGTCTGTTTATAAACATTATCCTAAGTCTCTTTATATAGAGGACTTCGAAATTAAATAAACTTCCTAGTATCAATTTGGTATCGGAGCAATGAGAAGAAACGGGATCAAATAGAAGAATTGAGGCAAGAGAGACAGTTTTATTCATATAATTCAGGTCTGTTTGTAAACATTGCCCTAAATCCGTTTATATAGAGAAAGACTTTGAAATTAAATAAACTTCATATCTAAACAAACTTGAAATAAAAGATAACAATTGTCAAAATCAAACTACTATAAAATAGATAAACTTGAATTCTATTAATTCTTAGTTTTTCGTCTTGAATAGACTTTTAGTTGTTTCCTTGTTGTGTCAATATTGCTCCAGTCCAGATTTCGTCTATTGAAGTTTAATTCTTAAAAAAATCATACAAAAGTTTATATATAAAAAAATACATCTAGGTATTTTAATTCAAACTCGATTATCTTCAATAATGTCAAGGTGATCTCGAGAAGATCTTGATTCTTGACATCATATCAATTTTGATAAAATGAGAGATTTGAGTTCTTGCGAAAGATCGAATAGAAGATATATTTTTCCCTTTTGGGGTTTGCACTAAAATTATGAATTTGTAAAGTATTTATAGAATTATTTAGAACGTGGATTAGAATTGTAGAAGTGTATCAAAAGGTGGTGTGAGATAATTCTTGACCTAGGACTTTATAGCCTGTTTGGTATGGATTATTTTAATCTAAGTCAAAGTCAAACAATCAATATTAACCGCATCTTTCATGGATCCCATAACTTTTCAACCATACATTTCAAAAACTTCTATCACGATCTACTGAAGGATATAATTTTAATCCCTACCAAACACCCCTTTAATGTCAAAATATGAGGACTTGGTTTATCTTGGCGCAATGCACCTATGTAATGTAAATTTTGGGAAAATCATCTGTTCTCATGGCTGCACTGAAAACCAGACCAGCCACTCAGTAAAGGAATAGGAGCTTGGAAAGATTGTCCACCTCTAGGAAATTGTACTTCAATTTTGTTCAATTGGGTAACTAAAATTTTTTATTTCAATTGGATAATTTGATTTTAGTCAAATAACTAGGTTTTGATTTTATTTAAGTTAAAGTAACTTCGTCCAATTCCACCAACAAAAATTGATGACGAGGCTATTTATAAATTTTGGTCATCATACATAACCGTTAGATGCTAATGGGAAATATGTACAACTTAAGTGAAATCAATGACGACCGTCGTTTTTTAATTGTCATGTTATTGATTTCGTCTGTCCAAGTGATAGAATCATAGAAATCCATTTGAAATCAAATTAAAGTGTAGTTATACAATTAAACAAACATCAGTACCTAGGTATTGACTCCAGATGAAAATGTAGTTACCTCAAATGGAATTTATCCATGTAAAAACCTAGTAAGAATGAAATATGCCTTTGGAGAATCTATATTTCTCATATATATCAATTATCTAGGAGTAACAAAACATGCCTTTGGAGAATCTATATTTCTCATATTTATCAATTATCTAGGAGTAACAAAACATCATTCCTCTTTTGTTTGCTAATACAAGGTGATTGATGTTTGTTTAGGTACAGCCTCTTAGGTTTCAAAAACTCGACTTTCCACATAGTAATTGCTACCGGATTATACATATGTGCAATTGAGTTTTCTTATCCAAAATATTGTTTACTTGCTAGATATATATGTCGAAAAGTGTGCTAAATCACTATTGCTGCAAACAATCAAGTTCTTTTGGGGCTTTTTGGAGGCTTTCACCTCCATAAGTATTTGTTTTTTCCCAAGAAGTTTCAATTCCATTGTTGAGTGGTCTCAAGTGATGTTTTGTCACATATACTAGTTTCGAGTTTTTTGTATCTTTTCTTTTACCCATCTTTTTCTTTGTTACTTGATGAAGATTGTTGATTATTAGCATTAAATGAGTTAACAATTAATTAATAAGATAATGGGTATCATGAGATTTTAGGTGTTATATGTTAAGCCACTTTATGTAAAAGCTTAAGTTATTCATAATTTGTCTTTGCCTATCATGCACACATTTTGATAAATGCATTTTTTTTGTGGGCAGCATTGCCGCCTCTCGTATAACGTAGAACCATTTTTGTCTGAAAGCTTAAGCCATTATAAGAGGATACATTTATTTATTCAAGTTTTATTTTCAAAGTTATGGAATATATGTAGTGTCTTGAAATTAAAAATGTCAATTTCCTCGTAATTCCTCATGGTTTGAACTCCGTGCAACGGATAAGCGTATTAAAGACCCATACAAAAGTGCAATTTTATTATTTTTTTCTTCGTTTACTTTGGCTATAATGACCCGGACTTCTTGCCTAAGCCGTTAGCTTACGTACTGTCCGTTTTGGGTGGCCCACTTATCCCTCACGGTTTTTCTTCGCGTCTCCCAGGATTCGAACTCTTGACCTCTACATAAGAGAGACTTAAGTTGAATCCTGGTACTAACTGGAAAAAACGCGCGCATTTTTTTGTAACGATCCGGACCTCTCGCCCAAGCCATTAGCTTACGTCCTGTCCGCTTTGGGTGGACCTTGCGCCTACTTATCTCTCACGGCTTTTCTTTGTGTTCTCCAGGATTCGAACTCTTGACCTCTACATAAGAGAGACTTAAGTTGAATCCTCCAAAACGGACATGACGTAAGCTAACTGCTTGGGCGAGAGGTCCGGGTCGTTACATTGACCCATCTTATGAACGAACCATTGCAATATGCATGTCACACACTTGACACTGTACTCTTATTAGAGCTTGGAGTGTCATGCTGAGTATTATTGATATTAGCTTGCTCCTGCTCTTATACTGTTATGATTTTTATGACCAGCATTTTTATTTTCATTTATTTATTTGTTTATTTAATTTTTTGTTTCATTTATGTATTGCTTTCTATCTTTCCAGTTCAGTTAGATTAATGCTGGTTACACTTGTAAGTAACCTCAGACTGGGCTGAGATGTTTTTTGGTTGACAAATATTATTTGTAGAACATCTTTAATATGCTGACTGGATGATTTAGATTAATATTTGTTTCATTTGTACAGGGTTCCACAATCTCCTGATTCAGCTGACCGTTCCCCATCTCCAAGGTAAGTATTTTGATCATGATAACCTCTGGTGGTCTCTTCTACTTAATTTTTTCTTGCTCCTTAAGAATAAGCTTTTGGTTCCCTTTAGCAGCAGGAGGCCTTCCAGGCCAATTAGCAAGCCCTTTTCCAATTCTAAAAGTTATTCTGAGTGGGTTTCCATTTGATGTCAAAGTGTGCTCATAATTTTGATAGATTGTGATTTGTTATCTGGTTTTCATTTTAGTGAAAGACGGAGGTCAAGAAGTATATCTGGATCACCTCCACCGAGAGGACGGTCCATTTCCTCTGAGAGGCCACGTCGATCTTCACCAAGACTGTCTGGGACACCGAGGAGGAGGCATTCGCCTCGTCTCTCCCCTCCACCAAGGTATAGGTCAACCCGCACTAGGAGAAGATCTATATCGCATTCAAGGCACAGGTCTCCTTCTCCCACACGATATAGGGTTCGTTCCCCTCTGCGTCGCAGGTCACGATCTCCTTTGCGACGTAGATCAAGATCTCCCGTGTGGCGTAGGTCAAGGACACCAATACGAAGATCACCAGTGCAATACAGGTCCCGTTCACCTGTGCGACGCAGATCACCACCTGTGCGACGCAGATCACCACCTGTGAGACGTAGATCACCGTCTCCTATCCCACGACGATCACTGTCTCCTATGCGACGACGATCACCTTCCCCCCCTCGTCGTAGGTTGCCATCCTTTCGTCGTAAGTCACCATCCCCTCATCGTAGGTCACCATCTCCTGTAAGAAGGCAGCACCGACGATCACCTTCAACTCCACGGCGCCAGTCTATATCCCCAGTTCGGCACAGGTTACCAGTGCCCAGTCGAAGAAGATCTATAACACCTGCCAAACGAAGGTCTCCTTCAGTGCAAGAATCTATTTCCCCCTCTCCCAGTTCCCTTTCACCAGTCAGGAGGCGATCACTGAAAAGCCAGAAATCACCTCTACGATCTCCCAGAGAAGCAATCAGGTACTTTAGAGCATGTTAGCTGCTTTCGATCTTTAAGAATTTTTTGATATTTGTATTTTATTTTGGTTTCAAGCGTATGGTTTGCATGTGTTTTTGTTACTGCTACAGTTTAGATGCTTTAGTGCACATCTGCAGCAATGATAATGGCGGAACAGACATTTTTTTTTAAAATTAGGATGCCTAGGAATACGACAAAAACAAATCAATTGAGATGACACACCCCTTTTAAGCAACTGTGATATGTCACGACAGTGTAATGGTTCATAAAAAAGAGAACAGGACGTTATCTACATAAAAGAACACTGAAGAGACAACACAATGAAATTATGTGCTTAAGACTGTTGTCATCCTTCCACATAACACCTAAGCACAGCCCATATGAACCATAACTCAACCAATCTACCCCAGTTATTAAAAAAAACCTCGTGTCTTCTTTATAGAATAAAAGGAACATGCTTGAAATACAGACCTCTAAACGAGGAGGTGCCTCAAATGGCAAGATCAGTAATTTGTTTATCCAATATTCTACCTTTATGCTGGCACTCCATTCTTAACTGTAGATAACTAGTTCATTGAATTGCAACAGAACTTTCCTATAGCTTTAGTCGGAGGGCAGAAATGTGAGTTAATTTTTTTTTTCTGTAAGGTCCATTTCCTAGTTCGAAAAGAATTCATATTTTTGTTTTTATTGTTTAAGAGACAGGGAAACATGCAATATATCATGATGATGTGGCAGATAAATGAAAATAATTGAGTGTTGGTAACAGCCACACAAGAAAAAACTGTGCTCTTTGTTTAATGAGGTTAATCGTGATATTTCCAGTATTGCCACTCTCCTTTTTCTTCCCTCTTGTTTTATCTCTGCTTTTTCCTTTGATCTCTTGGAAGAACTGGGCTTTCAAATTAGAGAAACTGGGGTAGAGAGCTGAGATCTCTATTATATATCTAGTGAATTTTGCACGATTTTGTGTTATGAGATGACCATCTGTACTATTTCGACTTATTGCTCTATTTCCATTCAAACTGGATTCCCATCTGCATGCACTTTCCTAGTTGCAGTAGCTGTAAAATTTTTGATGCATAAAATTCCTGCTGCTGGGGAATATGCATAGAAAGCAGGCTTACTTGATCTTTGATCTCTCTAAACTCTAATCCAAACTCTGAACTGTAGGCCTCTTGTTTCTTTGAGATCACCACAAAGGGACATGCTGGATCGAAATGACCAACGTGGAAGAGTGCTGGATCCGTCTCCTCTGCACAAGTCTCCATCTGCTTCCGAAGTGTCTGGGGAAGGAAATCATATTGAACGGCAGAGGTTCAAACCTCTATCTATATCTACCTTTTGGTCTTTTTATCACATTTTCTTGAGGTGTAACATTGTAAGTCACATTTTATTTGGATAGGTCTAGTAGTCCTCATCGTAGTCCTTATCAAAGAAGGGAAAGGATCATTCTTCCTGAGAGTCCAAACCCTTTACCGAAAGGAATGGGATCTAAACCTCATCCTGATAGTTCTGGGACAAGTGCTGATGACAGGTAAACCTTGTATGCTAGGTTTTGTTTGAAAAGTTCATTGTTCTCGAACGTGGTATTTTTTACTCTAAATTTCTGAGTTGTGCATGGTTTTATTTTTTATTTAGAGAGATTGGAAAGCTTAAACATAGATCTTTAGAGAAAAATTCTCCATCACATGATCGGCATAAAGATTCTTTTGGCTTTGCTGATCATGTGAAGTCAAGAAATCCTCGTCAACTGCCAGACAGGTTTGCTGTTGCTGTGGTACATTCTGTCTCAGTAGTCTATAGTTTGTGTATAACTGATCTAATTTTTTGTATTTTCTGTTTTTATTTGAATAAACCAGTGAAAAGTTAGCTGAAAGGGTGGATCACATAATAAATCCCGAGAAACAAGAATCATTAGTGATTCGTAAAAGCGCTATATTAAGAGAGGAAGGAAAGGGATCATATGTTGACAATGATTACAGAGCTGTTGATAAGAATACATCTGTGTATGATGATACCAAGGGCAGTGGTCGACATTCAGAACTTGAAGTCTTGCCTAATTTGTCTGGGGCAGACAAGCTGAATGCTCGAAGTCGTTCAGTGGGATTCAACTCTGAGGAAACTGACAGGCATAAAACTAAAATTAAAGAAAAGGGAAAGCACAAGAGGTCAGAGAGACAAGAGGTGGAATCAGATGACTATTCTAGCTATGATTCTTATGAGAAGAGGAAGGAGGCTAAGAGGAGGAAAAAAGAGGAGAAGAAATTGAAAAAGGAGGAGAGGCATCGACGGCGGGAGGAACGGCGCCGCAGAAAAAAGGAAAAGCATGCAGAGAAGCTAAAATTGAAGTCGCTTGACGCTGGTAGTCCATCTTTAGATATTGAGATTGATCATGATCGTCATGCTTCTTATGATGACGGTTATAGAAGGCGGGAAACGCATACTAGTGACATGGAGGAAACAGAATCTGAGCAGAAAAAGCTTGAGATAGAGTTGAGGGAAAAGGCTCTTGAGTCGCTTCGAGCAAAGAAGGGCGCTCAGAATTAAATTTTTTTGCTGCTCTAGAATATTTCACTTTTATTTTCTGTTATATGATCCTGTTATGAGTTCCTGTTTCTGTCCTAGACCTATTCTGTTTCGGATGAATGTATTCTTGGTGGCTATTTAATGTAATGTGTCTTTACTGCTGGCAGCTGAATGGATAAATGAGGATTTCCTGAGCTAGTGTCTTGAGTGCAACTTTATGCTGACTTTCCTGCTAAATTTGCTGGTAATATTTGTCTTCCCTTCACTGGGAATATGTTTATGTTATATTTACATGACACATAAAAGTGTGCACGTGAATCATCTTGTTGCTTGGGTGGTGCTTTCCATCTTTTACTATGTCGTGTCTACTATGCTTACATTTTGGTATTTGCTTGTCTTCTGTGAGTTGGAATTTCAATTAAGCTTGCAGGTAAGGAGTGCCTAACCTTTTATTCTTTGGAATGATTATGTGCATCCTGAAGGTCTTGACAGTTATTTCCCTAAATAACTTTGTTACTAAAATGACTTTCTGGTTAATTGATAGATGAGAATAATTGTCAACTTGACGACTTCGTTGAGCAGATCTTGTGCAACTCCATATTTTAGACCTCCATACAGGTGAAGTATTTTACTCTTAGTTGGTTTCTCTTAAATAATTATTTACTTGGTTGAGATTTGAATTTCGAATTCTGTCAGAGTTCTAATTCTACCTCTGTATCGTTGGCAGCCTGAGAGTTATTCCCAAGAATTTGATTTTCTATTCTACATGATACCTTTAAGTTCCTGTTCATCCTGTTTCCATGTTGATTGCAGCTGGTAATCAATACTGGTGCATAACTGTGGTGCGATTTTGTATGTGAACACTTATGGTTTAATTGTTCAACAAGGTCATTAACTGTTCGATTTTCTTTGTTCGTGTTCTGCCCGCTATTTCTTTTGTTCAATTATTGTTATTTTTTTTTATTAATATTATATTTGTTGGTGGTGGTGGTGGTGGGGTGGATCCTTTTGCTTCATGTTTGTCCATATTGATTCACTCTGTAGTGGGGGGCATGCAATGTTGACACATGAATTTCATATGATGAATCTGTTAATAATCATTCATGTACTGATTATATCTTTGCTAAATATGATTTAACATTTATTCACATTCCTATGCCTTTTTTCTGGAAAGATGTACGTTCTACTGGTTATTGGGTGGATGGAGAAAAGATCGCAGCTAAGGATTCAGTTTTTGTTAATTTCTGACTGTTGAGGCATTTGACATTTTAGCTGTGTCATATATTTACTCTTCTCTTCTCCCTCGTAAATTTGTAACTTTGCAACTCAATCTAGGATTTGCTCCCAAGCTTCTGACATCTGTGAAAAAACATGTACCTGTTTCGGGGCATTATCTCTGCATATAAACGTGGTTGGTGAAAAAATTGTGATTCAGCTAATATATGTTTGAATTCTATCCATTACAGGCGTTATCGTTGCATATTAACGTACCTGTTTCCAAGCATGAATAAAAGGGTCGAGTTAGGTAGTTTGGGAGTCAAAACAGCTTAAAATTGTCACTTTTGTCATGACTAGGATTTGTGGAGTCAACTTTCAAGCTCTGATGCTCGGACTCTTCGAAATGGTTGGAGTACCCTTGTCAGACACGACATGGGTATGAGTATAAGATGTGTCGGATCCTCCAAGTTTTAATCAGATTCTTCGCCCTTTTCGCTTCTTCTTTCGTTTTTCTTTTCCTTCTCTTTTCGTTCTATTCTCTATAAACTTAGTGCCACCTTCGAGAGGGTGGAAAAAGGTGACGGCACTAGATTTTTCCTCCTTTTTTCTTTCCCTTTTCTTTTTTTTCTTTTTTTTTTCTTTTTTTTTTTTCCCTCTCTGTATCAGTGGTTTAAGGTTTTGTTTGTATAAAATGAAAATGAGTTTCCTATAATACTACTAAATGCTCCATTAAATCCAAATTGCAATCAAATCCTTCATATTTATTTTATATAACATTTAGTAATTTAATTCTCATAATTGAAAACTAAATCTCAAAATTCTATTTTATTCGTTTTAACTCTTTATTCAATATTATTTCCTTTTTTGTGAATAATTGATTTTGGTCTATTCAAAATAATATGTTAAGTTTGTTAAAAGTTGAAGTTTGAAAGACGTACTGACGTACGTATGTCCAAAATTTAGATTTTTTTTAGCCATGTACTCGTATCCTACATTTTAGAAAATAAAAGATCCAACACTTAGATACATATCCGTACCTGATACCCATACCTCAAGTCCGAGCATCATAGCTTTAAAGCTTTGTCAAGTTAAGCTAAGCACATACATGCTTGAGTGATGGCACATCTTATCATGTTCCCATGTGAGACTGCAATCATAAGTGGTTGGCATAGAAAACTGCATCTTTTGGTTAAGCATGAATAAAGAGATAGGTTGGTAGTCAATCTGCTTAAAATTGTGACTTGTTTCATGACTAGGACCTGTGGAGTCGACGTTTAAGTATGGATAAGGATCTGCTTTGTAAGATAGGCTCATACATGCTTGAGTGGTTTAACTTATCATGTTTAAATGAGACTGCAAAAGTATGTAGTTGGCTGAGAAAACTTGCATCTTATGAGCAAGTTTTGAAAGGTTTTGAGTTTTTTGAAAATTGCAGTAACTTCCCTAAAAATGATGAAAAGAAGGCCATAAAGGTTGAGACGTGTGTTGACTACAGAGATAGATTCGTTCATACACACCATTCAAGAATTGGCAACCAAAATTAGGATCACTTTTGCTTTGAAAAATCGAACTTGAGCACATTTGAGTTGTGCTTAAAATTATGTGAAACTTGCTTTGAAGTAACTTATTTTTGCCAAAAATGATTTTCAAATTTAGTATTTTTAACTGAAATTGCTTTTATAGAAAGTAAGTCTTTTAAGTGCAATCAAACATGATGTAGGTGTTGTGTCGAACACTGGCATGGCATGCTAACTGTAGTCGTGCATAGATGCAAGTAAAATGGTCATGACATCATTTTATTTGCTGCTTCTTCCTTTTTAACAGTGATTTGAGAATGCCAGTGTACAAATGTGCATATCTGTTAGACATCCAGTGAAGTAACGGTAGTATAATCTATCGTTCTTGATCGTTTGAGGTTGGTCTTCTTGTTCCATTTTATCTTGCCTCCTTCAAGATGTTATTCTTCATCATTCTCCATATGGTCCTATAAAAAATGTCCTTTTTCATGCTGTATATATGATGTTGCCCCGTCCTGCCCTGCCCATCTTCGTGCTGTATATCCTCATTTTGCTTGGTAGTGTCTTGAAAAGCCATAGAATCCTCGCTTTTTCTGCATTCAGACGACGTGTTAGTTTGATTTTCCCATATAACTTGGTGGTTCTCTTGTACGCAGTTTGATAAGATTTGACCCCATAAGCAGAACGACGTGTCGATTACAGCTGCTTTAATTGGATTCAAACTTTTAGGCTTGGTATCCAGTTAATAAATTGTATGGATGAACTTGTGTAGTTCATATGGTGGGCAATGGTTTTCCAGGTTTTCTCATAGCTAGTGTGTACTGGCGTAACAACAAAAATTAAGTTTTGTGTTTAACAAATTTATAATTGACTCCTTTTATTATAATTGTCATGAGATGATCTACAACAAATAATGAAAATTAAGTTTTATGTTTAACAAATTTATAATTGACACTTTTCATAGTTGTCATGAGATGATCCACCACAACTAATGACCTTAAGTAAGCCTTTATTTGCTTTAGATAAAAATTAGATTTTTAGTAGATTTTAATAAAAGTTGAAGAAATGCGTGGTAAAAAAGATGATAAAAGTTGTGGTTTTCATAAAATGTAAGAAACCGTTTATTCTATTTCTGTAATAAGAATATAGAGTGATCTAGAAGAAACGCAAGCTTCTATAATAGATTGTGATGAACGATTAATTAGTTTTAAGAGAGAAGAATTTCTAATTTTATCCCACGCTGGGGACTATATATTTAGGTAATGGAACTTATGTATGTTTTTTTACTGTTCACAAAAATTTCATATGTTGAGTTTGGGCTACTAAACTTATTCAAAATGTTATACCTTAATCATTGGCATGACATTCGTTTCACAAACAACATTGGTGACATGGCAGACGAAATGTACATGTGGCACTCAAACACCGTTATGCAATCGATCTTGACGCAACAAATTGCCACGCAAGAAAGACTCCTTTAATCGGTAACTATACTTTGAAAGAGGTTTTCATTGCTGAAGACGTCTTTAATTACTTATTATGTTTTCAGGTGGTCGAGTGTTGGCCATTGAACTTGTAAAATTGACGTTGGCATGTCTTAAAATTTTGGGAATGCCGTTTCAAGTATCACTTGCATATAATAAAATTTAATTTTGCAATATGTTACAAAGGAATGTTTCAAGACATTTCGCAATATACTTGAGTTTTGCTGCAAATCTTTTCATATTTGATTTCAACAAAGATAGGTTTCTAAGAGAAGATCAAGGAGAGCAGCTACAATTTGCAAAACTTCGATTCTAAGTGGAGATATATTCGTCTATATTAAAGCCTAAATATCTTGATGCTTGATCTCTCTTAACCATTTCTAATCACCTTATGCATTATACCGAGTTAAGTTGGGCAATTTATAGTTTGTCAGAAAAATACTGACCAACATTTGTAGCTACTAACTAAAGATAGAACAATAAAGAGTGATAAAATAAAACGGCAAGAAAACATTGATTATGACTAATTTTAAAAAGTAAAAGCAACATATAAAAAAAATGGTGTAAAAAGTACACGGAAACACGAAAAAAACGTTGCAAAAAAGCAAAGGCAACACGTAGAAAAAATTGCAAAAAAGTAACCACAACGGTTTTTGACCTTACAAAAGATATATAAGACAAGGGGGGAAACTGTTGCAAAAATTTTAAATACAACATTCAGCGAACGTTGCCAAAAGTAAACCAACATGCAATGAAAGTTGTCGTATCGTTCTACTCAACGACAATATCACATCTTGCAACAAGCACCCGAACATTGCGAAAGATCTTTCGCAACGTTTTTTGGCTGTTGCCATAGGCAATTTCTGTTTTAGACGGCCAAGAGGAAAAAGGGCCTCTCAAGTGTTCTAAAAACAAGGGTGACAATGCATCAAGCTATTTGAAAAGTCAGTCGAGGGACCTCTCGAAGAGCTCCCGACTCCAAAGTAAAAGGACCTTTCAAAAGTTTTGGAAGCTAGAAAAATGAAGCATTATATAAACATAGCAAGTATCAAGAGGAGTAGAAACTGATTAGAACAATTTTCTCGTGTTCATAGTAGCTGCTGATTTTGGAGGCTGACTGTCTAACCTCAACTCAAGATCCAATACTGCACTCTCGAATTCTTGGCCAGATGGCAACTTCACTAGAGTTTCCTCTGAAACTTGATTGTAAATTGGTTTTGTGTCAATGGATTTCGGTGCTGTTTCTCCCTCACCTCTAGGAGATTTTCTATTTTCCAATGAAGCTATACAAGGCCATGTCGCCGTTCTTTTCATTTTGCTAAACGGGGATACAGATGACACGTTAGACTTGACTGAACTGAATTGTATTCAAGAAAAAATAGGAATACTTATAATAATAGACAATACAGTCTTATCCAATACTGTATACGAAACATATTTACCTAGAGGTATCGACCCTGTCAAGAAGAGCAGCATTGATGCTCAAGGATTTTCTCGTCGTCTGATCTTTTGAGGATTGCTTCAGCTTGGCTTTGTCTTTCCTGTGGATGTTCATGTGGCCACCAAGTGCCTGAGCATTTGAGAGAGTCTTCTTGCAGAAGATGCATTCATATGACCTATCTGGTTTTTCACCTTGATTTTCTGATGGTGTTTGATTCATGGACATTTTAGTTTATTCTAGAGAGAGAGAGAGAGAGAGAGAGAGAGATGTGGGTGAATCAACTAATAGATGGTAAAAAGATTGATGCTTATATATTGGGAAGAGAACGATGGAGAGGCTACTTTGTAAATGACCAAAAATTTCTTTTTATTTTAGGGGAAAAAAAAAAAGAACTAAGATAGTGAGAAACGATAAAAAGTGTTTGATATATAGTATTGAATAGTTTAATATTGTGTATAACAAAGAAGTTTTGCTTCATTCACGTTGAGTTGGTTGGATAGAGCACGTCTATCATTCACGACGATTTATTCAAATAAAAGGTATAGAGTTTGAATAATTAGTCTTGTTGGTATGCTACTTTGATTAAATTTAAGGTCGAAATGGGTATTTGTCAAATTTCGAGTGAATAAAAAATATTACTTTGACAAAATAAAATGAAAAATGGAAAAAGCAAAATAAATAGATTGAGTGACGGGGCCTTTTTCCAGGATCTGATTTGGCAATATTTGATTGGCAATTCTCTGTTTAATTTTTCTTTCAACTGTCAATGAAAATATGCCAAGTATATGGATATTAAAGAACCGTCAGAGAGCCTGTTTTTCTAGCAAAATTGATGAAAAATTTAGTATTCTTCCTCTTGAAATAGTCAAGATCAAAGACCATTTATAAAACAATCATTTAGAAGAAAAATATTAGAACAATTTGTATTTTAGAAAGAGAGACATATTTCTTGATTTTGTTTGGTCTCCTCGATCATTGACTTAAATCTATGATGTAATCATAAGAAAAGAGTACGGTCAACGTAAGACATCAACAATCATATTTGCAAAAGTAAGGAAAATTTTAATAACAATAAATGTCGTACATCTTATAAAGACAACATAAGGTGACGAGTCAAGTCAAAAGTAACGTTTTAAATTAAATAGGGCCTGTTTGGGAGTGATTTTCGACCTAAAAAATTGATATTTTGACTGTTATTTCACTATTTCAATCGTCATATTTGACTTCTTCTCTTATAGGTGGACCCCACTTTTCTTCTAACGGTCAAAAAATCAATTCTCAAAATCCCTCCCAAACAGGATCTATATCATATCTACCTAGTCGAAAACGAGAACAGGAAATATTTCAAAAAGTGAATTTATTTACAACAGCTATTAATTAGAAGGTTGTAGATAATACAAAGAATAATAATAGTCATCTACACACATGAACGATCAATAATTTGTGCATAGTAGCCTTAATGTCACATTGTCTAATGAATATTAAATGTTCTTAGTGCTAAAGTGGCCACCGTGAGATCGTGTTAAAGTGACAATATGTAGATCGTGTGTTCAATTATGTTTAATTCAGCATATCGAGACCTTGTTTGGGTGAGATTCTTTAAAATAATTTTTTCTCCAAAATAATTTTCAATGACATTTTATGGGATACATAACTTTCCATACTTTTTAATCTTCTTTACCTGAAAATTCTCTCCCAAATAGATATTAGACGGGACTATTTTTCCAATTCCAAAATTGACCTCAGTGGTCGACAATCGTTACTTTCTACACTGACCTTGATTATATTCACTGGCTTCCAAAATCCAGATGGATTCATGAGATGACTGCCGAAATGGGAAGTTCTTCACACCAACAAATTCCCAAACAATCCGACTCTTCTATAGTGACTTGTGGTGCGATAGGATTCGAGCATAATGGAGTTCTCACTCTTTTTGTAACCACTTTCCACATGATGGATGCTTATGTTATGATGCCTTAATATCACATCAAATAATTAAATAAATAGCGATATATTTTTTGAGTTATATCACTATTTGTGAGAGCATATAAGATTTACTAGTTGCTGATTTGCATCAAGTATTGCAAATCTCTATACTCAGGATTAGTTTGGTATAACTTTTGCTTTTCCTTGAAAGAAGCTTCCTTAATTTTTGTTGGTAGACAAATTTAAAAAAAAAAAAAAAAAAACTTTCTTTTCCGAATATGCTTTTAGAAGAATGTACATTAAACCAATTTCATCTAAAAACTCTTTTAACTAGGAGAAACATATTAATAAAAGTAGTCAAACGAATTCAAAAGCAATTTTAGTATCTCAAAAGCCATGCCAAATGAGCCCATTGTCTCGTATTGAAGTGTATGATTCCCAGTTAAACTCATGATTCTAAATTTAACACATATAAATAACCACACAAGGCTACGCCATGAACAAATATAACATATATAATGTGTAAGCTTTTTTCACCTAGGTTTGATAATTGCTATCTTGCAAAAATTCAACATTGGTTCTTCAATTTGTTGAATGCTTAGTAAGTTAGACAGTTGGGACAAGAATAACCTACTAAGTTTAGCTTATGTTATTCTTCATTAATCATGTCAATTCTAATGCACTAAAAGTGCAATCAGAGAGATTTTTTGACGAACTTTCAAAATTATTAATATGATTTACCCAAAAGACATTATAGCTTAGGAGATTATTGTTCACGCATTCGTTAATCATATATGGGAACTACGTTGGAATGGTATAACTGTAGTACCCTAAACAAACCTCAAAACCACTTTCTATTTGCATAAAAGCAGCCCTTCTTCGCATTTGTTTATAGAATGGAAAGTCGAGATATATTTGGTCGTGAAAGTGTTCGAAATATCACTACTCAATTTATTTATTTTTTATTTTTTTTATTTTTTTGATACTCAGGTGTCCGTCTTACAGCGACTAATCTTGGGACCTATGATCCAGCCCCTCTTCACGCAGACCAAATAAACCGCGGGTTGTACCTCAAACTAGCTAGGGTCCAAGAGCCCTACCAATTGAACTGTCAAAGTGCCGAGCGAGTCAAACTCATGTATGCGTCTTGCCTTCCAGGAGAACTCCTGCTTTCCAGGAAATATTCTACCTTCCAGAAGAGAGTCTGCCTTCCGAAAGCCCCATGAATCAAATCCGCGACCTCTAAACTGCCCGTCTTAAAGAACTCCGTCCTTTACTAGTTGGAATGTGCCCCGGGGGGCTCACTACTCAATTTATTGATCAGACTGTGGAAGGGATCATTTGGCATCGTCGCAGAAAAGATAGTCTTCTGTTGAGAATTCAACACAACTTCAAGCTTGAGTTCACCGAGCTTTGTGGGTTTATCCCTAGTTCTGTATTCTATGAGGATTCCACGGCACACTGCTCGGTATATCTAGGTTTTTACAGATCTTAGTTCAAGAAAATTAAAATCAACGCAAGATCTCAAAGAATGTAATAAAATTTGTCGAAAAACAAGCTTCAGAATGATTCTAACATTACAATGTCTATTATAACAGCAATTCAGAACAAAAAAGTAATTGCACACAAGGTGCTGAGGAAAATACTTAAGAGCTTTCAACGCGATGCTCCACGACCAGAAAAATCCTCCTCTTTTAGTTTCCTTTCAAAGATTTCAATCTTCTATAACCCTTGTCAGTACCAAATATCCTATTAAAAAGGACACGGAAGAAGTTAGAGCCGCGAATATATAATTTATATTATGTAGTAGTTTTTATTCTGTCATCAAGCTAATATAAGGTTGGAGAATCTCGGGAAGTTCAACGCAGAGCTGGATAGGTTGATCATAGCTCTTCACAAGCTAGTACCCATCAAGTATTAGCTTCACCAACGAGATTCATGGAAATGGAAGCAAGGTTTCTAAATTTAATACAACTTAATATATGAAAGAATGACGAATATAGACAGACGTTCCTAAGCTGAATATATCCAATGGTGAAGGTAATGTAATCGCACCAGTCCATGTAAACAAAAGTTGATGAATAGTTGCCACTCTTTGTGTACAGCAGTCGGTGATGATAGTCGTGGAAATCAGCCCTGGGAATCCACAAAAGAAATTTTAGGTACATAAGTAATTTTGAAACACCAAGTAATCTCTCAGGTTACTGATGACAGAAAAGATAATATGAATACAAACCCTCCATATAATGGCAAAAAGTTCGAGAGGCTAAATGGTAAATGGTAGCCACAATGTGCCTCGACTGTTTCAAGGACTCTAAGAACCATCCACAGCCAGAGTGTTATCAGATGGGGACCAGTAATGGCAGGACCAACAATTGTGGCAAATCCAAGGAACAAAATCTCAGCAGGATGAGCATATTCAGAAGTTAGTCCAAATGGTGTTGCATATCTGTCAGGATGTTAAGCATATACATAAAAAGCATAGAAAGACAAAGATTATGAGTACTTAGTAGTAAAATAGCGAAAAAAGTAGTAGCAAAAGAATAAATCGAGAATTACTTACTCGTGATGGACACTGTGGACATGCTTGTAAAGCCATTTTGTATGTAAAATCCTGTGTCCCCAATAGAAAATGAAATCCTCCAAGATGAAGTAGAACAAAATCTGGATTGAGACTACTTTCCTACAGGGCAAATATTCCACAACCAAATCACAAAATAACACATCGGAAAATATTTCCGTTACATTGAATAGAGACATCTCCATAAACAGAAAACATAGAGAAAGGGCAAAATGATTTTTTCTTGGATTAATGTCTTCTCAATTATTTTGGGAATGGGGATTATTGCATTAGGTACTTTGGATGGGATAAAAGAAAATTCAGGTTATGAATGAATATCACTCCCCACATTGACCCTTCAACATCCACAACTGTATAAAAGGGCTTGATCTCATTAATGAGCATTTTGACATAATTAAACTTGCTGGCAATATGGTAAATCATACTCAATTTCACTTATCAGAAAAAGTGCAGTATTATTTACTCAAGATAACGAATATATGATAGAGAGATAGATATTTTGATTATCAACGAAAAGTAAAAATAGAGGGTACCTTTTAAAAATGAATAACAGGAGAGAAAAACATATTATGTTATGCAACATATTATATTCATAAATATATTCCACCATTTGATAAGCCAGATTATAGAGAATAAACTAGGGTTGATCCAATAACAAAGCTTCAGTATATAAAGAACCTGAATATACCAGGACGGCAAGGGAAGACTACTTCGCATCCCCATATATTTGAAGACAGGATAGGATAAAATCATAACTGGTAGATTGACACAGAAATGATAGAGCAGTAGTCGATTGACACATTTCCCCTGAGCTGCCGGGGTATTATTCTTAGTCTGTAGCAACAGAGAAAATGATATCAGAGTAATTATAGGGGAGGATAACTTGTATATTAAATTCACCTGATATGTTCTATAGGATAGAATAAAAATTACATATAACAATTTATACTTCTGAATTATTCTTTATTTTCCAATTTTGCAGGTTAATGGCATGCATCCTAGAACCAGTAGCCAAAGATAACAATATTGTTTAGACATTATATATGTCATTTTCATTGAGAATAAAAACCATAACAGTGGTAGAAAGATATCAATCTCCAATAAACAACCAACAATAAAGTCAATAGATTGATACCTGAATTTTGTACTTGCTCAGCCATCCTACCCTTTCAAAAATTATAAATGGGACTCCCGACAAGAAGAAGACACTTTCGTGAAGAAAGAAACTTCCAAGGCATGCCAATTGAAAATCATTGAAATGAGTGATTAGATACTGCAACAAAATTTTAAAGTGCATTACAGAGGGAAATAAAGAGTTATATTTCATAGAGATGATATCAAATAAATGTGGATGAATTGCTCGAAGAAATTTCTTAATGGAAGAAATAGCGTGGATCTTATGGATTCACCAAGCTCATTAAAAAAGAAATATTAACCATTTGCCCAGTCTCAAATGTGAAAGAGGCTATCACGAGGCTGAACATGTGAAAAGTGGTGTCTGGATCAATTATCGATGCATGAAAGTACAGGGAGAGATGGGTTTTGTGTGGCCAATGAAATAATTCAAATCAATCTTCTCAAATTAACAGAGGAAGAGTACTATAGTCTATGTCTATAAGAATAATGAAAGTGTTCAAAATTGTACCAAGTATAGAAATACTATGCCCACAAGCCATGCTAAGAAATTATTAAATTTCAAGAGAATATGATTGAATACGCGTGAATCTGTAACTCTAAGGTTTAAAATAACTAGTTTGAATGTTACTTCTGATTTTTAAGTAAAAAAAGTTACTTATGATGACATAAGGTAGGAGTTCATTTCAAAATAAGCAGCTAATTTCCAACATAACCAGCAAGAAAAAAATTATTTTAATACTTAATTGTTTACTAATCTTATTTATAAGTAAATTTTTTGAACTTAGTTAAACATGCACTCACCCAACTATTAACTAAGGGCTGTTGATAGATCTCAGATTGAGATTGCTTTACATCTCAGATTGAGATTACAATGCCCCATTTTTTTGTAATATTCGACCATAGCAGTGATTCTCTAAGACTACATATGTGATGCATGGCAACAGGAGATGCTTATTGGGTCCAATTATACAGCTGGCATAGCTTTAATGAAATTGATGTTTGTCTAATTGGAGTTTGGTAGTACCACCCTTCCTGTAATCAAACTGTTTAATCTCTTAATCACTCTACCAAACTTGCATTATATGAAAATGATAGTAAGTTTCAGCACCGCGGAGTAGGATGCCAATGGGGCAAGTCGGCCATTCTCGCCCTGTCGGGTATTTTTGTTACCTTACCCACCTCCATACCCTATTAAAGCGGGGCAGGGTGGTCCCCTACCTAATTTATTTTTTTCTATATATATTTAAGTAGTGAATATTATTACCTGTTTTCCAATTTGTTAAGAACACCTCGTGTTCTATTTATAAATCAATTTTTTAATGAAAAACTTAAATTTGAAATTAACTTTAAACGGGCAGGTAGGTTTCCCGTACCCGCTTCGGGGCAATGACCCTACCCCGATCCCGTTTACTCGATTAGGCAGGTAATCCTTGCCTCATTCAGGGCTAGGTATTGGGTGGAACAAATTTTTTTGCCATCTCTACCGTGGCCTAAACTTCTAACCCATCAGTTCCCTAACTACTTCTTGATCTAAATAATAAAAAATAATAAAAACTACATATCAACAGCAATGCAAACTGAATTAATTGACATCTATTCATCTAAAGAATCATAAATTAGGAATAATCTCCATAACTTTGATTAAATGACTTCAATAAGATTATAAATATTTTTCACAGCCTTACTTTCTTCTCAAAAAATATAAATAAATAAATAAAATCGATATTTAAATTTGAAACTCAGCTATTAAATTAGGAAAAATCTTTATAGCTTGTATTCAGTGACATGAATACAATCATATACATTTTTCACTACCTTACTTCCTTTCTTCTCCATTACATTGAAATTCAAATTTGAAAGCCAGAACCAAAAAAGAAAAAGAAAAAAGGAACATGCATAAAATCGAAAATGCAATGCCGTGAATTGAAAAATAGTACAAGTAGATCCAGATATCTAATCAAGAAGACAACAACAGCAATGCGGAATAAAAAATTACCGTCCAAGCAAATTCGATAATCGACGCCATGGAAAAAAATCCGCGAATGCTTGTGTTGTATTGATCTTCCTAGAATGGATAACAAAGAATCAATAGAGCGTAAATGTGGCTACAGAGAGTACAAACTAGAGAGAGAGAGTCTATGGAGAAAATTCGAGAAGGGAGAGAGAGAGAGAGAGAGAGAGAGAGAGAGGGCGCGCGTTGGAGAATGAATTTCTGAAAATACAGACAGACTGTCACGGAATCTCAGCCGTGGCCTGCCCTCTTATACTTATCTCTGCAAATAATGCTGTCCACTGCTAGCATAGACGATAGACGCAATAAAATATGAAATTATGAAATCCATTTAATTATACTTTTTATTTAATAACAATTAACGTCCTCAAGATGCATATTGTTTTACCCACCTGTCATGTGTATGTCACGTAGAACGATTATTTGATACATTAATATGGTAATTTTTTTATTCATTAACGTATCAAATACCCACCTGTTATATGTATGTCACGTAGGGCGAGCGACTACGAATAGCATTACTCTAAAATATTTTCTATCCGAAAAAGGTAAAAATTTATAAATGAAAAGGTCGAAGATCAAATGATATGATGCAATTTTTGACATATCTCGCTGGGGAGTCGATGCATAAGACAGGCAACACATTTTCTGAATAATTGAAGAAGTAAATTCTCCGAACTAAAAATAAAGCATCAAATTTGAAAAAGGATGCTGCTTCACTAACAAGTACAAATGATATATATTAGACAAGTTAGGATTGTCAAGCCTAATAGGTTTCTCAAGGCAAAGTTGGTAGTTTAGGACCTGTATAATTTATAGTTTAGTTTTCGGTTTTGAGTTCATTTTCAATTTTTGTTTTGAATGTCTTTTTTTAAAATTGTTAAAAATGCATTTGGTTTGTCATTTTAAAATTTATTTCTCAAAACAAAAACTTTAAAAACACGTTTGTTAATATATTATCAACTAATGGTTGGTGAATATAACAATTTTTTTCTCCCTGCAAAATAAAATAAAATAAAATAAAAATTGAGTTCAAAATATAGAAAATAAAAATAAAAATCAATGACGTGGACTAAGAATATTTTTTCCAGTATTCATTTAATTTTTTTTATGTAAATAATTATTACGAGCTTGAACTATTTTTATTTTTTTATAGTTTAAAATTTTCTAAAATTTTTTATAGTTTTATTTTTGGAGAATTTTTATTTTTCATGGAATAAAAATTTATGACGCGGATTGAGAATATTTTTACATGTTCTCATTTAAATATATTTAAAATTTTTTTATGTAAATAATCATTACGAGCTAGAACTATTTTTATTTTTTATAAAGTTTTAAAAAAATTATTTTTTTCAGAATTTTTATTTTATTATAGATTTTTTTTTAAAAGAACTTTAGATTTTTAGAACTTTAGATATTAAGTTTTAAATTTTTTATCTTTTTAAATTATTTAATTATTTTGTTAGAATTATTTTTTAAAAATGTTATTTAAACGTTTGTTTTAAATGTTTTTAGTGTTTTCAAAATTTTCACCGAAAACACTCAGACCAAAAAAAATGGGTTTGAGTTTTATGTTATAAATTTAACCTTGTTTTCAAAAATATGTTTTCAGAAAATCACACCAAACACATTTTCAATGTTTCACAAAATTGAAAAACTGAATACAACTTGAAAATAGCAAACCAAACGCATCATTAGCTTTCAAGATTTAGAATGAGAAAATAAAAAAGAAAGACTGATTCTTCTTGAGCAAGAAGGCTATGAAGTGAGCTTGAGGTTGCCATTGATTTTATTACTAGATAGACCAGCATTATCATTTCAATGCAGATTCTACATCATACTTGACTTCTCATTCAATGGTTCAAACTTCCAAAATTCTTTGTTATAAGATCCCTATCGAGGAGTTCCTATTGAAAGTCAATAAGCCGTCAACAGTGCCGTCTAGCGTCGAAGAAGTGCTCGTGGTCCTCCTGTCAATAGTTAAATCAATTATTTCTTCGGAATGTCTCTGCTTATAAAATCTATCAATCCGATGTCCTCCTCGAAGTGGTTTGTCAACCACACTTTCCCTCTCAAACACAATGCTTGTTGGCCAATGCCCCTCCTTGGACTGGGGCAAGACAGCATTGAATACTTCAACAAATTTAAAAATGTGAATGTGACTGGTTTTGATTGAGAACGGACTGATTTAGAGATGTATTCATAATCAATTTGAAATTTTAGAATTTTGAGAAAAGATAAATTCTCTCTCGATTATTATGGTTCAATTGATCCGTCCATACATGTTATGTATAGGTGGAATAATTGGACATTTTATCAACCTTATATCGTACTCAATTGGATAAGATTATAAAAGATAGAAATGGAACAAAATTTATCACTTATTCAAATGTCTTAAAAGAATTTTATAAAATTAAAACAAAAAGATTGTTTTTATTGTATTCCATCTTTTTGGTACCCATTGCTCGTCCATGGTAGGCTATTTTACTTAAGTTATTTTCAGTTAAGAGAAGTTACTAGTTAAAACGTCTCTAGATACTTTCTATTTATAAAGTACATCTCAGATCATATATAAAAGAGAGCATTTAAATATAAAATTGAGAATTTTCTCATTTTTTATTTAACATACATATATATCTATATATAGAGAGTGAGTTCGATTGTCTGAAAAGTCAATCTCACTCTCTATTTTAAACATAGCTAAATTGGAGAACAACTTATATTTATAAATCTCTTAAGAGATATTCTTAGATGAATAGCTATCTTTAGGTATACATTGATTCAAATCTTTTGTTCCACACGTAAATCAAACAAGTTTATCTTCTTGTTCAAAGCAACAAACAAGGGAAAAGAAAGGATAAAAGGTGGTAAAAATAACTTTTCCCAGATCAAAATACCCTTTATCAAACATAAATTGTCAAAACAAAAGTGTTAAAAATGGAATAATGATATGTGGATGGCGCTAAACTATAGTCCCTTTTGGTAGAGATTAAAATCAGAATTTTAGTAAATTTTGATAAAAAAAAAATGATTAAATATGTAATTAAAAAGTCGTGAATCCCATAAAACGTGTGATTAAAATTAATTGTTGACTTTAATTTAAATTAAAATCTGAGTTTTAATTTATACCATACAAGGGCAAAAACTCAATGAAATATAGAATTAAGTAATTCATTTAATTAAAGTAATATTATTTAACACCAATTTTATTAAAATATCTATTAAATGATTCTAATGTGAAATTAAGAGGAGTATTTCAATTAAAAATTTTAATGACTTTTTGAAATTTAAAAAGTTTAGGGGTATTCAATGTAAACTTTTTGAGACTCTCTAAAAATATTGATGTATTCAATTAAGAGTTTTAAAAAGTCTCTAAAAGTTAATGTGTATTCAATTAAAACTTTTTAGAAATCTCTATAAATGTTAGGGTATTCTAATTTTAATGATTTTTAGAAACTTTTATAAAAGTTTTTGGGTTACTAACTTTTAAACAAAAAGTACTCCTATAAAATCTCAAAATTTGTCTCTCATTAATCATAAGATTTTGAAAAACTCTCACAAAAATTGTATTTATTTTTCAATATTTCTCTTTTCTTTTTCTTTCTACGAATATTAGAATTATGATTAAAATTTATTTTTTCTATGGATTATATTTATCTCTCTCTCTCTCTCACATATTTTTTTTGTCTCTATTTTGTATGAAAAAAAAAAATTGAATTCTTATAACATTTTTTTCTCATTCATCTTTTTTTTTTTTGGTGAATTATTTATTTTTTATTAAATTATAAAATTTCATATTGCAATTTATAACTAAATTTAAATATATTGATTTTCTATTCATTATTTATTTATTTAAAATCTTAAAAAAATTCTTTTTAAAATAACTTTTTATTATATAGGGAGGAAAAAGGAAATTCTGGGAATCATCACCTCGTATATAAGAATTTCATATTATTATACTAGATCCACATGAATTCAACTTAAAAATGAAAGCCTTCAAAACTTTTTTGAATTCTACAAAAGTTTTGAAAATGAAAGTCTATAGAAATCTATAAACACTAATTCCATACAAATTTACAAAAAATTCTTGAAATCCATAGAAATCACCGTTTAAAAAATGTCTATCAAAATCTTCAACAGTCCCCATTAAATACACCCCCTAAATAAAATGTACAATTAAATTAATCATTTAATTCAACTTTTATTGAACATATCATTTAGTATCATCGTATAACACCAATGATACTAAACAACATTATTTATTTAATTATACATCTCATCTAATATCGCATTAGTGCAATGGTGAGTAGACAATGATGTAATGTACTTTTATTGTCATCTACATGAACAATATTGAGCAACACTTGAACAAATCACATTTATTGTCCTTATAATGAAATTATTGAACACCCACTCATTACCCACACATTTGTCGGACAAATGATTTAGCACATAAAAACAATACCAAACAAGCACTAAAGCAAACTAAAGTTTATTGTGTTCTACAATCGAGTCGCTTTAGTATCTGATAATCTTGATAGAGGCCATAACCTAGAAACTGTTACAAACAGGTATATAATGATGCAAGGATTAATGAAAAGCAAAACGCAACTTGAGGCTGTCAACAATCTACAATTGCATCTACATAAACCAGTGTATTTTCACAGTCGAATAATAAATTGCATGCTAAAAATTCGAAAAAGAAAAATAACATGGCACTTCAGGCCACCTGAGCTGAAAATAGTTGCCAGTTTAGGAGGCTACCTGAGGACATAATACTGATATACAAAATGTATGCTCCAACTTTAGAAACCATAATCTTCTCAGGCACACCAAATGACACAACACCTGCCAAAAGATATCAAAATCTGAAATGTAACACCACACAATGAAAAGCACTTTTAAGGGTTTTTTTCAATGGTTAGGGGACGGGGACCCGACCTTATTCAGATGTCCTTCAGATCAAATCTCTAACTAAGCTTAAGAGACTTTTACCCTCGAGAAAAGCTACTTTAAAGCTATGCCAAACATTATACCCCCAACCTGATGGGGGCTAAGATTGGGAAAGAATGAAAAAGCAAATCTCAATTCAGAACTTGAAGCAAGAAATGTAAAATTAATCAAAAGCATGCAAGAAATCGATCTTTATTCTAGGGGAAGGCTATGTAACCATTCAGATCAAAACATATTAGATCTTCCTAACTTCACTGAAAGTTACTAGAGATCCATCGAGGACCACACAAAATCTACATACATTCATCAACTTATTATTTCTCTTGTACAATATGATGCTTTGATAACATAATAATCATAATCAGATGGTATCGATCCAATAATGTACAAGTGGATATGTCAATAATACCCATAAGGTAAATTTTGGTGACAATTAATACAAGGAAAATTCAAACCCTACGTTTCCTATTGCAAAAAATAAGAAAGGCAACATTATGTTTGCCAAAACTCATACATATCAAGAGAAGAATAAATATGGAAGTATCACCGAAAGGAAAGCATTTTGAGTGATTCATTATGCAAGTGTCATAAATCTAAAGAAAATTTTCACATATATATAGAAGCACAACCAACTTGACTATGTTCAGCATCGTTAAAATTTGGAAGTACCATTAAATTTTAATGATGCTACATTAAACAATTTCAGGTCACTTGGAAATCGATGCCACTAGAGTATAATAGTATCATGTCTAAGCTGAAAAAAAGAATCAGAAATATTTTCTTCAGAAAAAATTTAGCACACCTTGTAACGCAAAAAGGGAAAAATAGAAGAATTAATGACCAGCGAGATCTGATGAGTGTTCAAGTTTATCAAGCGCAACCTACGGCCAAACAAGTTAAAGCTTTAAATTCAAACAGCCAAATATATGTAAAATGTATGACAAACATCAATTAAAAATGGGACCACAAAGGATTTTCATTCGGACTTTGGAAACCTAAATTACAAGCGATATCATCAAGGATATAGGCAGATATGCAAAATGTGTCACTATCAACCTTCTTTCTAAATAAAATCAAAGAAGACATCCTCCAAAACTTATTGATTCAAGCAGGAAAGAAAGATTATTTCACCACACCATTCTATGAAAGTTAAACTTACAATTCAATAGGGGCGAAATAATCTGAATCAACATGGATGTATGCCATAAAATGGTTCAGTGAATAAAAAGCCATTATTTTGAACTTCATGGTAGTTTTTTTTTTAAAATACTAGACGACTGATTAAGATTAGGAAGTGTGTGTTTTCTCAGAAAAAGCTCTGTAAATTGTGAATCCTCTTCATCAATTACTACTCAGTCCACCACCCTAAAAGTTGTCAAAGAACTCGGACAATTTCCAGAAGATAAATATAATCCAGCCACATACACAGTACAATAACCATCAAAATTAGGTATGTCGCGTTATAAACTAGAAACTGTTGGATGCTTCAAAGACAAGGTTACACAGACCTTGAACATTCTCGTATAACTAAAACCACCGTAATCAAATTTTACTTCACAAAAACCGCCTTCCATCGTTTGGTTTCAGGATCTGAAATGAACACATCAAACTTTCATCAACACTCATCATTGCACCAGCATTATCAAATTCACCACAATAGTTGGGAGCAGAAAATATTGTAACTAGCTGTCTGTCAGCAAAAAATTCATATCCATCTTCCACGACCTGCACAGAAAAATCCCATCAACAGCAGAAACCAAAACACTGAAACAAGGATCAAAGAAATCATGAGAAAATATCAATACCTGATGAGCACGACATACAAGGTCCATATCATGCTGCATTAAAAACTCAGCTACCTTATCAGGACCAAAAGTGTATGAGACCCCCCTATCGTTCATCCCCCAACCTTTAACTTCTCTACTAGGATCTGACCAAAGTAAATCACAAAGCAAACCAGAGTCGGGAACATCAGTTGGACGTGGCAAATTCCTGATCTGATCCAAGTCATGTAGATCAGGAGAAAGACCACCATGCATGCACAGTATTTTATCGTCTATAACAGCAGCTACTGGAAGGCAGTTAAAACAATCAGTAAAGACTTTCCAGAGCCTCACGTTGAAGCGGCGTTTACATTCATCATAGAATCCATATATCCTATTAATAGAAGCACATTCATGATTTCCTCTTAAAAGAAAGAAATTTTCTGGATATTTGATTTTGTAGGCAAGAAGAAGGCATATTGTTTCTAAACTATATTTGCCACGGTCCACATAGTCTCCTAAGAACAAATAATTGGCCTCGGGAGGGAATCCCCCATATTCGAAAAGTCTTAAAAGATCTCCATACTGCCCGTGAATGTCACCTGGAATTAAGACGAACCAAAATGCACAGTCAGACTTCTGTCAGAGAAAAAATAGAAAGAGGGCGAGAAAGTTCAGACTGCAAATCAAAAATGCATTTCCAGACCATATTGATTATCTCACAAGCAGAATTGTAAAATTCTTCCACCTAGAGAAACAAAACAATATTCAATGTGGAGCTCTGAAGCTAACGGAAAATACCAGTTTTTTAACTCTAGAAAATTAACGATGCTTATCCATGTTCACATAAACTTAAAACTAACAAAAAAATGATATTACAATCTGACTCATCAGACAACATATAGAACTTCATTAATTAAATAGCTTGCACATTTTGAGTAGGATGTTTATTCACGTGAAGGATAGTAAAGAGACTAGGGATGTGAATTGTGAAACAAATAAAATGAATAATACAAATCCAGCTTAGGTCTCAAAATGCAACACGTGACATTCAGCCAATCAGGAAACGAATGGAAGGAAAAGAACCTGCAACACCGTTGACGTTTCAGAAGCAAGAGTTTCTTTAATAAAATATATAACCAAAATTTTCGTTTTTACTCGTATACTTCATTAGGCACTTGGGGATTGCATTTTCTTTCGAATACAATTTTGAAATATTAACAAGGGGAAAGAAATATTGTTTTTCCATTACAAGGGGAACCTTTTTTTATTTTTTTTTAACTTTCACCGATTTTTTATTTTGATTTTTTTGAGAAGTCATTTTGTGAAAAGTTATTTTTGGAGAATGTGCGGTTTAAAGTAGGGAACATTATGGGTCCACATGCAAAATTATTTTATTGGAAGAATGTGTGGTTGAAAATGAGTTTGAAGAAAAAGTAATTTTGGAAAAATTAAAATAAAACAAGGGCTTAATCTTTTTCCTTTTTTTTCATAATATAGAATAACATCAAGGCCAGACACTGCCAGGGGTGTAGGCTCGTAGATCCTGTGGCCATACCGGGCCTCCTAAAAGTAGGCAGTTTTACACCTCTAGGTATTTATTTGTAATCTTTTCATGAAGCATACATCTTACCATTAGAGTTCATGTTTGACCATCAATGCACCCACCTTTATTCATTACCAACCATTGGGACCACAATCCCAAATCAAAATTTGAACATTTCTTATGATTTTAACTAGTGTTACATGGGTCAATTATTTCGTAATTCTTGAATGTAAAGTGTGCAAGATTAAGACCACTTGGATACCCTGAGATCAAAGTTCTTTCAAGGAAAATTACCATATGGAATAACAAGAGGAGTCAAAACTGTAAACTCAAAATGTAGGTCTCAAGAGAGTGCAAGCTCAAAAAGAAAAACAATAACTAAAAATCTAAAATGCTAAAGCACATTAAAAAATCTAATATTTACGCTTTTTACGACAGTTCAAGTCAAATCAAGAGGACTATAATATGCATTGTTATTATTTATAAAACTATAATAGTATTGATACTGTAAAAACCTTCGTGCATGATCATATAGTTGTTAATTGTAAGCACACCTATGCACATTTTGCATTCACCGCAAGTTGCATCCTGTGCACTTTTAGTGCTGAAGAGCATATCACTATCTTTTAGGGCTTTTGATTCCTTATCCATTTAAGAAGCACTTTTTGGTTTTTCCTGTAATATGCATGGCTGGAGATAGTTCATTTATATTATTACAACTCTTTGCATGGTTGATGCACACCTTGCTTTGAGTTTGCAGTTAGGCCCTGAGAAACCTTGGTGCCCCAATGTGCTTTGCACATCTCAATGATTTTTTGTAATTTTTTTTTTTAAAGAATTTGCCTTGGGGTCTTACACTTCTCTTTTCCAAACTATTTATCTGACAAAAAGTCCCCTCTCTCACACAACCCACAACCAAATATAATGGTAGTGGTTGATATTTAAGATTTTGAATATATTACCTCATTTTCTCAGCATTTAGAAACCATAGTATTTGTATTTTCACTTATATTTTCATATTAACTAACTTGGCTTGTGTCTGTTTCATATTTGTTAGAACATTTATATCTTTTATTCTAGCCACTAACTCCTAGAGACTTGAAGTTATTTTTAAGCTTTAATGCATATGCAAGCTAACATTCTTTATCCATGATGGCAAACATCTTAGTGTTTAGGCCACATGTTAAATGTAGAAAGGATGTACTTTTTGCTTCATGTAAGTCATTGTTCAATAGATTTGGTCCATTTAAGTGTTAATTATCACATGTCCTAAGATAAGTACTGAATCTTAGAGTGCATTTTTTATTCATGAATCATAATTTGCTAATGTATAATTTCCTATATATGACAGCCAAGCATTCATTTAATGTGATATCGGCAATAAATAATATTGATACATATGAGCTAGAACAAAAATATTACATCATACTTTTAACGAATTTCAAAAATAAACTATGATAAAATACAAATAAGATGATAAGGCCATGTTCATGGCCCTTTAATTTCAAAAATTGGAGTATGAAATAGTGATTGATGTTGAAATGTATGGTTAAAAAAGAACGAACAGTTTTTGATATATGTGTAATATTATTTTAATGGAGAATGTGTAGTTGAAAATGAGTACTATAGAAAAAATAATGTGGGAGAATGTGGGAGAATGGTTGACAAATAAGGGCTAAGTATAAAGTACAGTTGTCAACACTATAAATAGGGAAGTGTTACATGTACATAATTATCTACATAATGGTATCCATAATTACACGTGGCACTAGATCCAACCTTTAATTCAAATCTCATATTTGCACATCAACAACCGGATGATTGCCACATCACATTATAGACACCATTATGTGCAATAATTATGTGCAAGTAAAATTTTCCCTATAAATAACTTGAAAGGCATGGAGTGCAGAAAATATATTCAAAATCCAGAGCAAACCCACAGCACAAGAATACCATCAACGTCCTACCAAAGTAGACTTCATGCCATAAGTCGACTAGGGAAATATCCTCATATGGACTCCGTGGCCAAATTCTTTTTATGATCCAGATTTTAAAACGAATAATCAGCTGAAGAACGAATTCAAATCCTTTTTCCACAAAATCTATCTCCTATGCTGCTGTAATGCTGCTTCTCAAATCGACGGTCATTCTCTTCTCGACTTGAGGACCTCTAGTCTTCTACCCAAGTATCTAAATCTCAGAACATAACATTCAAGATTTATTGTAATTTACTTGGTACAATTGTTTAATGATGTAGTCATTCATATTGAGGCCAGCCTCAGTGTGACGAACAAAAGATGCATCAAGGCACCGATTGAGAGTCAGTATTTGGAGATGCATGCCTCAAGGCTTATGAGACGTGTGCTCCTTAATTCTCCATGGGTCCACACAGCTAAATTCAAATCATGTTTTGTTTTCTTTTTTCATGTATCCCATTTATTATGTGCCATCGCTTTCTTTGCACTTGTTTGTCCGGTCTACTATTGATGTTTGTCATGCAATGAGCATGAGGTTGAACAGTAATAGCTTCAGTGGGCCAATTCCTAACTTTAGCCATGCTCCCTCAACTTGCTTTCTTGTTAGATAATCCCCTCCCTCTCTCTCAAAATGAATGTTAATGTGCTTAATTTTCATCACCCAAATTTTAGACTATCGTAAAATCCACCTCTTGATCCTTCCCTCAATCCGATTAAAAACATGCGTGCATATTTCCATTCAGAAAATTCCAAATTTCTTCCATTGCAATACAAAAAGGTAAAACAAAACATATGAACGTAATTTCACATTTGAGTAATCATGGCATGTCATTGGGGCAAAATGCCATCGCCTTCTGAACTTTCTACTCACAAGTCAAAGGCATGTGTATAATCATATACATGGAAGACATGCAAAAACATCTACCTACGCATTCATTCACAAAATGAAGATATATATACAGAGAGAGAAAATACCGCAGATCTTTATTGGAGCTTCAAGCTCGAGCAGATTAGGCTGTGAAAGGAAGATTTCACGTGAGGCGGTGCAGAGAGCGCGGATCTCATTCTCCGACAGCTGCACCTGCCGCACGGTCCTCGTACTCCGGAACTCCAATAACCGGTTGATGATATCATCCAGAACGGCAGGCTCCATCCCCTGCCCAGGTGCCGCCATCTCTTAACCTCTCTTCTTTCAATTCTAAGCCTCCCCTAAAAATTCAAACCCCAACAACAACAAACCCTAAATTCTAATAATAATAATAAAATCAAGAAAAATAGATTTTTGACGTCCCAATTAGAAAACAAGAAAGATTAATGAATGAATCAACACAAGTCAGTTCAGATTAGTGATTAAGACAAAAAAGGGTTTTAAAAAAAAAAAAAAAAAACTTGATTCAAATTGGAGAAAAAAGGGTGGCTGCACCACCAATGAGGCGGAGCGGACTATATAACTTATGAATGGATCTCGATGATTTGACAATACAAAAAATGTATCTTGGGAATCGATAAATCCGCTACCCCTCGTGTGGTTCTCTCTATGCAATTTGGATTGACTGACTGGCTTCTACCCTTTTTGTGCCCTTGCCGCTCTGGATTTTCAAGTGGTGCAGCATACTTTAGTTGGCTCAATTTCAAATTATAGTGGTTCAACTTTCCAATCTCCAATGGGCTATATTACTCATTGTTTGACGATAGTTAAAATAAAATTCTCTCTCTATCTCTAAAAAAAAATTTATTTTCAATCACAAATTTCACAATAAAATATTCAATATTTCTGCTTGCACAGACATGTGTGGGGTCCACCCCCATGTGTGCACAGGCCCCTGTGCAAGCAGCATCGCCCTAAAATATTTTACATATAAATTCAAAAACTTTTTCTATTTTTCAATCATATATTCTCCAAAAATCACTATTCCAAAACTCATTTTAATACTTATGAAACTGGACTTAATTTCTCAACTAATTCGTTGAACACTTTTGAGATATGGAATTCAATATTTCATGTCACTATTTTAACTAATACGTGCATGCACGAGATCCATTTAAATAGTGGGATCCAATTTTATAGTACACATGTCAATTAAACAGTGATAGAACGTATTGAATATTCATATTTCGAGAGTATTAATTTTTTTCTCAATCATCGTATAAGTAATCAAATCAACTAGATTTTTAGAAAATATTTATATAATCAATTTATAATAATTAAACTTGACTCGTTATTCTATATTAAAAAGTGTTTTAGAGATATAATTTACTTCGAAATATTTTTAAAACATTCTTTTGAAGATAGATTTTATTATTAGTATGATTGTAGTAGTAGTAAAATTTTATTTAGTATGGCCTATTTTCTCAAAAAAATTGTTTTTCACATTTATTATTACTTAATGCAAGTAATTGGTTTCTTCGAATTCGTTTTTAAGTTTTGTTATGATATGGAATAAGAGATTCAAATTCCATAAAATATGAGAAAATGTTGAATAAATAAATAGGATATTAGGCTTACAAATTTTTCTCTCAAAACTCTCAAGTCACGTACTAAATAAAGAGAACAATACATCGTGTAGGGACAATTGCACAACTCTGTCCTCAAATCCATCTCAATTTTTCATTCTACAATTTAGACCTAGACACCATGGATTGGGACTTTTTGTAGACACTAGTGTACAGACAGCTTTTGTTCCCTAGCCTGTTGAGATACATCCCGCGATTAACCTCTCTCATGATACTCCAAGGACAGGACAGTGAGAAACCTTTAAGGTTGGGGTTCAACCTTTTTTTTAGACCTAGACACAATTGTTTTCTTCACCTTAGGGTCTACTGCATACACAAAATGCCTCTCCATTGTATGCAATGTCGTATAATTCCCTGTAAGCTCTTACAATCTCGTCCTCCAACTCGAATGGGCCTTTTGTCAAATGGGGTGGTGAGATGAAGTCTTCGAGGCCTTCCAGTGCAGATGGCCATGGTAATCGGTGGCAGTGGTGATGGCGGCAATGATAGCTGGTAGGTGACCGTAGGTGGATTTGGTTGGTTATGGTGGCGTGGGTGGGTG